CGTTCAGAAAATGACGAAAAGTTCAAGAGATATTCAAGATCTTGTAGATATGAAATCTAGAATCTTTGGCCAAGTGGTGAGTAAATATATGATTGTTTCGGTTTGTGTAATGCTCTGACGGCACTTGACCCCCCGTTCGAAAGGTTATTTTATGAGGATTTCAATGGTGGCTTTTATTTACAAGGGGGGTAAATACTCGCCGAGATATTTATATTAGAAAAATTGTGTCGTAATCTGATGCGAAAGGGGGTGGTCGAAAAAGAGTTAAATGTTGAGACTTTGGCCGAGTTTGTTTTTTGCCTTTTCAAGCCTTTTTATTAATTTTAAGTCAAGTTTTTCGATTAAATTTTAATCTAAACTATTGTCTATGTATACTAGATTATGGAAATGGTTTTCCTCTTTATGTTCCAGATATTTTAAAGATTTCAACGACATTCGGATAATCGTATTCTTTTGCATTGTGTGCATTTTTATTCGGCTTTTTAACATAAACTTTATTTACTAATTTAGTAACAATCTCTTACTGTTATACTGTTTTACGACATGTTTTTTAACTTTTTTAAAACATAGAAGTTGTATTTTTCATGTGACTGTCATATTCTTGAGAGTTCGCAACACTGAGTAGTTGTCAACAAGGCCGAGGAGTAATGTTGCCAAAGGAAGCCATTTAAACGCTCATTTCGTTAAAAAGTTATTATTTTACATAAAAATCAAGTGAAAAATTCCGTTTTCTTTATGTGGTTTATACTAAAACAATTAGACAACTCAGCTTCGTTGTCTCTGAGCGAATAGTCAGTTCGGCTTCGCCTCATTGACTATTCGCTCATAGACAACTCGGCTTCGTTGTCTAATTGTTAATTATTTATACATACAGAAAAATGTATGAATTATATGGGATGTAGTGCTGTACAAGTACATACACAGTAACGACAGTTAAATATTAGGAAAAATATTTGCTTACTGACCTGTAGTTTACTCTTCTCAGCTCATCGTCTATTAGGCTCCACAAAGACTTGTTCAAAAAGCGGCTTTTTTTTCAGAAAAGTGCCCACTAGCTTTGATTTGATTGCTCAAAAATAGTTTAAAACATCAAATATGAATTCCTCGTCCAAAAATATACATAATGGAGCATAATTAACGAAACAATTGAATATTCAATAAACAATTGTTTCCAAAATGACGGCCGGCAGCCATTTTGGTTTTTGACCCCCCGCGATAAATGCCCATATATTTGCGAGGGGCATGGGAATTAAAATTGTTATTTAACATTCAAAGAAGATAAATCCACTGAGAAATGAACCTTCGCTCTACAGGGTTACTAAAGTCTCTATGATGGTAATTTCTGTATGAAAATGGCCGACCAATTGGATTTGAAGGTTTAAAAATAAGTTAGAATTTTAAAACAATGTCAAATATGAATTCCTTGTCCAAAAATATACATAAACCAACTTAAATGTGGAGCATAATTAGCAAAACAATTGAATATTCAATAAACAATTGTTTTCAAAATGGCGACCATTTTGGTTTTTGACCCCCCGCGACGAATGCCCACATATTTGCGAGGGGCATGGGAATTAAATTTGTTATTTAACCTTCAAAGAAGTTAAATCCACTGAGAAATGAACCTTCGCTCTACATGGTCACAGAATCACTGTAGATGACCCAACTAATGTGCCTGCATTGTTTTATATTAAACTGTAACCCCCATATTGATGAGATTGGTAGCTGGATTTTCACAAAATTATGTCTCTGTGTAAGAATGATTTTGTCTAAGTTTATATGGGTATCCTCTAGGAGCAGTCAATAAGGTATAGCAAGGGTGACTGATTCCACTTGAATCCTTCTGATCTCTCGGATGGTTGGTAGTTCATGCCTGCTTCTTAAAGAAGGCAGGCAGTCTCTATCCGGATTAAGAATTTTCAGGTTCCTTGTCTGTACATGTACGTTCAATTACTTGTTGTAAATATTCTGGAATTCCTGCCCAAACAGGCGATGCATACTCTAATAGTGGTCTAATTTTGGATATGTAAGTTGTCAGCCCAACCTCTGTTGGTAATTGAGATTTCCTGCACTGTCTAAGATGGTATAATCTCTAATTTGGATGCGAGGTGGTTTTGGAATTGAATCTGTGAAACTGATCCACATATCCTTTGTTTTTTTTGGGTTCAAAGCCATTTTATTAGTATCTGCATGTATTAATGTTTACAAGATTAGGTACATTATCCTCTAAATCATTAATATGTATGTTAAACAAGGTGGGCGATATAACTGAGCCCTGTGGTACGCCTAGAGGACAAGGTTGTACTGAATACACACTATCATTACTGCCAAAAACACCAACATGGCAATAGTAAACAACTTGGTAATGTTGTACTAACCTTGGCAGGAACATCTCCCTCACTTGTAGGGTACCATGTAAGTTAACTTGTTGTGTTCTTCTGGTTAAAAAGCTTCTGATCCATAGCCAAAACGGTTTGCTGACATTCATCGAGGCTAGTTGTTGTAAGATGTTGTCATTCACCAGATCGAAGGCCTTTCAAAAATCTATAAATATGGCATGGGCACCTTTTCTACCTGACTGAGAGTTATCAGTGGCATTATACCAATTCTGTGTCGTAGATATTAGAGCGGAGACAGTACAACGGAGATCCGATATATTTAATTGTAGTTGGAGTTTTTCAATAACCTTAGCCAGTTGTGGGAGGACAGATATTTGTCTAAAGTTATTTTCAACATCACTTGGGTTGCAGATTTTGGCAACTGGGGATATCAGCGCATATTTGTATTGGCTTGGGTACTTGCATTGTTTTGTACTGGCTGATCATCACTAAAATGCTCGAGAATCCAGACAGGAATTTTGTCTACTCTGGTTGCTTTCCTGGGCTTTAGATGTTTTAGACAGTTCTTGACTTGTCCAATAGATGGCAGCGGAGGTGTGGTGTTCCTGAGTGATTGATCCATCAGGTTAATATCTAATTCATTATTGGGTGGTAAATTATCCCAGGGTTTTATAAATGCCTGTTGTAATTTTTCAGCCAGTTCTGGTATATTATCATCTGACGTTTTTCCCAATGGGTTGTTTCCGTTGTTAATTCCTAGAAGTGAGAAGATGGACTTAAACCAACTCAGCTAAATGAGTTTGTCGTGCGAAGATCTTTTACTTTTTATCTGCAATAGGACGTTTTAGCCTTGGATATAAGTCTTGAGATGGTGAAGCATAATTGTTCATATCGCACATGATCATTACGAGAGAAGGCACGATGTCTAGCTTTTATCTTTGTTTTGATGAAGCTTGTCATCCAGGGTTTACCCGAGGGGTGCATTCTGACTGTTCGTTCTGGAATAGTTTCATCCATAATTGTGAGCATAGTTGAGGTTTTTCGTCTATCTCTTCTGCATTGGATACATCAGACCAGTCTTCAAGTATAGTAGTCTATCTAAATTTCCGGTAAAGGTATTCAATCCTGTCAGTTCCACAGTCGGCACTTTGGTCAGGAGGATAGTATACAATAGCAACTACGATTGAACTGGACAGGTGCTGAGTTCTGGGTGGTGTAAGGAATAGCCATAATACCTCTTTATCATCTTCTGCAATCGTCACGTGGCGGACAGGTATGCCTTGGTGCACGTAAGCAAGTACTCCACCACCCAGTGTAGATATATCCCGGCGGAACATAACATATTTGTTACCGATCGACATTGCCAAATCAGGAATGCTTGAAGATAGCCAGGATTCTGTAATCAGGATTATTATTTGTGACAACTCCATGTAATTCATCCATTTTGTTGGTTATATGGCATGCGTTTGTTAGCTTAAGTGTCGGAAGGCTGAATTTCTCTAAGATTTCATTGTTAGTTTTAATCTGAATACAGTTTGATTTGGTATGGTCTACCTGACTGGTAGATAAGATCGTTTTAAACTCTGATGGGTATACTATTACCGGAGGTAGCTTGTTTTAACTTTGAATCCTCAATTATTTTCTGGAAGGATGGATCGGGATTTCCATTAGTGGTCGAGAAAAAGGAGGGTAGATGGGATGTTGTGACACTACAGGGACTGAGATTTCCAGTTACCAATACAGGTGGAGCAGGTACGTTAGATTGTACTTTACTATTATTTGCGGAAAAGGTGGCAGGTTTCCTCTTGACATTGTTATCTGGCGAACCAATTTCAAATAATTGTTCGAATTTGGAGGACGCTTACTCAAAGTAACAGTGTGAAAATTTTCTTGGCTGAGCCCTGTGACTAATACTTTTGTTGGACTTCGCTTGTCTATGATAATACTGTTTTTCTCACTTTGCTTTGTTTGGTCTATACTACCTTTCAGCCTGATTTTGTAGTTGCACATTGCTAGCTTGAGAAATAGGTTGTTTTACAAGATTTATAATCATAGGGACTTCAATCAGAGGTAAACATCCCAACCATTCTTTACTTCTGTTAATCAATTTACATTTCATTTTACTTTATTTCTTTTGCTCTGTCAAATCAAATCAAATAAGAATTTATTCAAAGTACCTATTACAAAAGTATCTAGGTCTTTGCAGGGGAAATCCTGAGGTTTGCCCTATATATGGATCCCCTTACCTGATTACTATAATCTAATAATAAAACACAATAGATACACCACTAGACATTAGATAATTCAATGCAATTTCATGTGTAATTTTAAATTGTTTCTTAATATTATCAACTTCAACTACTGATCTAGGTAACTTATTCCTAAACTAATAATCCTTACAAAAAACGAATGCTTAAAACAATTCTTGGTTGTTTAGGATATAGTGTATATGTGTGGTTGGTTCTTGTAGCACGATACTGTTTATATTCAAACACTTCTGCGAATGATATACCATTAAGACTGAAAACGGTTTTATAACACTCGACCAGAGATAGGAATTCTCTTCGTTTCTCTAGAGTGTTCCATTTTAATAATTCACATCGGTCTTTGTATGGCATTTCACCTCATCTTTGTTTAATGCTAGTCTGGATGCTCGTCTCTGAACTGCCTCTAATGCTTGTATATCTTTCAAGTGTGGCAACCACACTGGCGCGGCGTATTCCAAAAGTGGTCTGACCCATTGGTCAGACCTCTTGGAATACGCCGCCACTAATGACTTGTACAAAGTTGTGAAAGTGCTCGTTGGGGTAAACGAACCAACCGTTCTTTTAATCAGACCCAAAATTCGATTTGCTTTCTTAACTGAAGAGGCGACTTGGTTACTCCATGATAGATTACTTGTCATGATTACACCAAGATCTTTGAATTCGTTTACCACTTTGAGTTTCTTGCCTGATAAATTATAATCCGGTGTCACGGTCTCAGCACTCCTCCACTCCCATGCATGAAAAAAGACTTTAAAAGTACTTTCATGAAGGCACATTATTGTTAGATATGGTAAGGCTGTTAAATATCGTATTATTTCTTTATAAATATGATCACTTTTGTATATTTTTTAAAAGAGATAACTCAGACTGAGGAGTATCGAGACTGGTCTGAATGCTCCCCAGTCTGGGGTATCTCCTGATATAATTTTTAAGAGAGATAACTCAGACTGGGGAGTATCGAGACTGGTCTGAATGCTCCCCAGTCTGGGGGTATCTCCTGATATAATTTTTTAAAAGTGATAGCTGAGACTGGGGAGTATGGAGACTGGTCTGAATGCTCCCCAGTCTGGGGTATCTCCTGATAACTTTTTAAGAGAGAGAACTCAGACTGGGGAGTATCGAGACTGGTCTGAATGTTCCCCAGTCTGGGGGTATCTCCTGATATAATTTTTTAAAAGTGATAGCTCAGACTGGGGAGTATCGAGACTGGTCTGAATGCTCCCCAGTGTGGGGTATCTCCTGATATAACTTTGGAAGAGAGATAACTCAGACGGGGGAGTATCGAGATTGGTCTGAATGCTCCCCAGTCTGGAGTATCTCCTGATATAATTTTTTAAGAGAGATAACTCAGACTGGGGAGTATCGAGATTGGTCTGAATGCTCCCCAGTCTGGGGTATCTCTTGTTATAATTTTTTAAGGGAGATAACTCAGACTTGGGAGTATCGAGATTGGTCTGAATGCTCCCTAGTCTGGGGTTATCTCCTGATATAACTTTTTAAGAGAGATAACTCAGACTGGGGAGTATCGGATATTAGGAATGACTTCGAACACAATAGATTGTATGATAAACAGTGATTTTTAACTACTTTTCATTCCTAATATCTTGTTGAATTATTTGCAGTTCATGCAATGGAAATTTGTTTGTTCACCAACAGTCCTTGGAACTTTGTCACATGATCTGTGGAACCACTGCAAGCAGTTTGAGCACTCAATCATGAAGTCACCTTCTTTGTAAGGCATCCTACAATGGCAGAATAGCTCTTCTGTCACTTCAACGCTCTTGCTTCTTTTACATTTTACTTTCGACAGTGGAAATACAGCAATCTCTTCACAATGGAAGCATGTAGCTAAATGTACTCTCATTGCACTCTGATCATAGGCTTGTTGACATGGATCTTGCCCATTACAAAGAGCAAGTGCAATTGCCATAGCAAAAAGACCACAATCTGAATCGCCTTCTTGAATTTGGAGTGATGGCCACTCAATTACCATACTTTCCAAGCTGGTATTAAGCAGTGCTGCCAGTTTAATTTTGTCAGTGTTTGACATTGATCGATAAAGTGTGTTGTACGCTTTGATTCTGTTTTCTTCACATCCAGTGTTTGTCACAGTAACCCAGTGGTTTCCTCCAATATTTAGCCATTGTCCATGGTCCATATGCTCATCAGTTAGCCAGTAGTTGTTTTTCAATATTGTTGAAAGCAGCTTTTCTGGGTTTGCATTTGCAGCACAATGCACTCAGGCATGTTAATGCCTGGGTCTGCCCACGCTTGGATGATATCTTGCGCGAGTGTTGCACGCGCGATCCGTCAGTAATGCGTCTGTTAGAATATTCGCCCCTTGTGTGAGTATTTTAGTGAATTCGGGCGTTTGCTTCAAATTAAAAATATAGTATATATGAGCGACAGGATTATTTTGGTATATACAATGCAAAGAAGTCGGTATACTATTCAGTTTTGATGTAATAATTGGCTCTTTGCATAGCAATAAGTATTGTATCATTTGCGACAGCTGACCTTTGAACTGCTGATAAATAAAAGCTTCTTATAGTGCGGTGTCTTGCGATTATTCAGTATTAATTGTTGACTGTTTCTTATTTTCAATGAAAAATAGCTTGTGAATTACAAATTAATAGCACATATAGTTCACTCGGTCTTTTCCACCATGGCATACTTCCCTTCAAGCATTAACTATGCTTCAAGATATCGGCTTGAATGCGGAATGAATGTTGTCATTAGAAATATAATATCCCTTACAATAAGCGGCAGACTGTTTTATTATGGCGCGTGAAATTCATCACACGAAAAACGCGTTCGACTTGCAGCAGGGTAATTTGACGAAATTTTGCTATGTTTGTTAGCTAAAAACATTAACAAGGGAACAAAGTTTCCTGCGTTAACTTGGAAACCGTACATTTATTTGTAGATAACATTTAATGACACGATTAACATTCGTTTGATGCCGATCATCGTAATATAGCCGCATAAAATAATGAAACGAAGCCTAAATGTAAACTTTCCGAATTTATTCAATAAACAATGATATTATGTGTGAATGATTATCGCAATTCTGCGTCCTCTCAGTCACGAAATATACTGCTGCAGAGCCTCTGAATAAAAAGTATCATTTTTTGTGTTGTTTTTTGAAATATACATCATGTGATCGTTGCCATGACAACGAAAAGTAGGTCAACTTTTAGAATCTCCTTTGATAAATCATATAAAACTTGAATGGTAATAATCAAGGCCATACTTATTTTTTTATGATTTTTTGTTTATTTTCGCTAAATACACAAACTGAGACCCAGGCATTAATGTACCTGAGCAGTATATTCCTCTTGCTTTTGCCAACTTTGTTCTTCCTTTTGACCGTGTTTGAATTGGTATTGACCTTTTTGGAATTGGTGTTGACCTTGTTGGTAGTGGTGTCAACTGTGTTGGAATTGGTGTTGACTGTACATGTGTTGGTAGTGGTGTCAACCATGTTGGTTATAGTGGTGTCGACCGTGTTGGTTATAGTGGTGTCAGCTGTGTTGATAGTGGTGTTGACCATGTTGGTAGTGGTGTCGACCGTGTCGGTATTGGTGTTGGTATCATCCTTATGGTTGACATCAATGTTGGAAATTGTAGCATGTGGTGACGTGTTGTTACATCTTGGTGGCATAGCTGTGTCTCATTGAGTGATGTCATGAAGCTCGCTTGTCATGTATGGTCGTAGTTGGTCATATGGCACCTTTGTCTTCAAAGGCACTGCACCATCATTAAGAGGGATAAGGGTAGCTCTTTGATTTTTATCAATTTCTGTTACGCTAGTATGTAATTAATATGATGATAATTATTTAGTTGCTGTACACTGTACAATGACATTTAACAGGGCTCAAGATTTGCAGTATCCCAATATCTACAGGATACCAGATTTCAATTTTGGATATCATAAAAGTAAGTTTCCCGATTGGATACTAAACATTTCTTGATCTTCAATAAAATTCCTCATCAAGTTATTGTTAATTATCAAAACATTTTAGCCTTATTTTGTGTATTTTTGTTATTGTTTTGTTATTGTTTTGTTAAATAGATAAACACTAGTGATTAAGTGATAATAGTGCATGATGTTTCCACATTGTAAATGTTACAGTCGTTTTTATGGCCGTGCCACCTTAAGTTTCGGGGGTCCCAGGCGGAAGTAACTTGACAATATCCATAGTAACAGTACTGGTAAGTTAAATTATATATCTGTCATTTACTAAAAATATAACAAGTCAAAAACAAAGAAATGTAAACATTCAGTAAGGAGGTGCGGCCATTAAAAAATGACTGTATAGATTCCCTTTAATTGGAATGTCTACTATCCAAATCTGGGATACTGAATTTCAAGGTAGGAAACCCAGCTTTAACTCTTTCTCAGCGGGTACCATTACGCGTAGAACGTGCAGGATCTATGGATGTTGTCGTTGATATCTTCGATTCAATAAACGCTATGTCGTTGCAAATACCACCATTCGATTCAGTGTAAAAATATGTACTTATTCATAACAATAGTTTTAGTCAATGGCAACATTATAGCGATTTATGAGCTTTGAAAGTCAAGCGAGCTCGTATATGATCAAATTACGCAATATTACTAACAAATTATAAACATACCTTTCGCCGAACATAACTTCGGCCCGTTGAGATGTATGCTCATTGTGACACTCTTGTTCGATTAACCATTCGAAATGCTGTATACTGTCTTATTTTCAAAGTTCTATCTGTAAATTCTAGCCATTTATTACCAGATTTACATTTCTGGTCCGAGTTTGATTTTATCCAAACCGGAAATACGACTTAAAAGTGTCGAAACAATGCGATGTTTGTATCGTATGACTCTGACGTCATCCCGGCTAAAGGAGCTCCTTATTGGCCATGTATTACGCAATACACGTGCGTGGGAGTAAAACCCGATATCCTTGAAAAATTCAAAATAAATATTTCTATTCGCTGTATTCATACGAAACTTTCTACACGAAAGCGCTTGAATACAAAGAATCTTTTACTCATATAGGCTTTTAGAAAATGACAAATAGTTTAGAAAATATTCAACTTTTTCTCCATATATCGAACAGAATGTTTGGTCAAGCGGTGAGTATAAATATATGATTGTTTTGGTTTGTGTAATGTTATGACGGCACTTGACCCCCCGTTCGAAAGGTTATTTCGAGAGGATTTCAATGGTGCGTTTTGTTTTAAAGGGGGTAAATACTCGCCGAGATATTTACATTAGAAACATTGACTCGTAATGTAATGCGAAACCTGCTGTCGGCAAGGGCGGCTGAGAAAGAGTTAAAACAATGCTCTCTCTTGGTTGTCTATGTGGCCCCCCATCCAAACAGGCTCCATCTTTCCACCTTTTCTTGATACATTTTTCATTTGTTTTTTAAAAATGGTGTCTCCTACTTTGATGTTAAAGGTTTTCACACCCTTTGCTATCCTTTTTTGAAATTGCTTTTTCGGCTTTTCTTGAGCAATTTCTACATTGCTAAGAACCTAAAATAATTACAAGATGCATTAGTTAAGCCCCTGTGGTCAAAATGAAGTGGAGCATAAGGTAAAATGCTGCTCATTGGGTTAAACATATCAGACCATTGACAGCCTTTCAATTTGAAATTTTCTAAGTAATCTATTGAAGTTAAAATAGCTCCCACCGCATTCCCTCCCTTGCAGGTAACCTAGTATTTAATAATATTTCAATATAAAAACTCCTCAAAACCTAGCAATTTAACAGCAGAAAGAAGAAGCAACCTATAAATCACAACCACTTGGTAAAAAATACTTCAGGTAAATACATACTTGCTTGTGAACATGCATCTTCAGCTAAAGCAGTTCTTTCACCAACTTGTTCATCCAGAAGATCCTCAAGTTGATCTGGAGAACTGTCCTCTACAACAGTCACCTAAAAGATATTTAATGATGAATTAATGCAGTTTTTATTTGATAAGTTTGAGCACATGAACAATTTCAAACAATTTACCATCTGAGGTGAATTTGGATTCCGACCAAACATAAGAAAGAATGGCGTGTACTTGGTTGTTGCCTGCTTTTGAGTCCTTATTGAGTAAGCCATTTCATCTAGGAAGTCACACCAATTGTTCTGATGCTCATTGATTAGTTTCGACTAACGATGTTTGAGGGTTTGGTTTGTTCGCTCGTCTAACCCATTTGTCTGCGGATGATATGCACTTGTTACTGATCTTTTTATGCCAAATTCTCTGCAAACCTCATCATTAATTTTGGCAACAAACTCTCTTCCTTGATCAGACAATAGCCGAGCTGGTGCACCCCATCTAAAAACAATACCTTTACTTTAATAAATTAATAATTAACTTATCTAGTTCCATGCAGATAAAATCATTGATACAAATTTACATATACTGTAAACCTGTAGTGATTGATACACCGGGTGGAAAGCGTAATTTAAAAATGAAAATTAAAGCCCAGCAAATGACTTTCAGACAAGACATAACAAAATATAAAATTTATTGGCTAACGTTTCGTTGTATTGTGTGTATTATATATATATACAAATAGTTTCAAACGGTTACAGTATTCAAATAAGCGAATAAGAGGAAGGATGAAAAACAACCTGTCATTAAAAGCAATAGTATTAGTAAATTAAAGAAATAATGGGTAGTAATTAGAGACCTAGCAAAGCATTAGAAAAGGTCAAGAGGAGTTGACCTAATGTTAGCATTTAAAGTAGGATTAAGCTTGGATATGAAAAGGCTTTTGCGAATGAGTAAATCTGCTTCAGAACTAGCAGTGCAAGGATTTTAAAATCAGAGGGTGAAATTTGATGTTTAGTGGTATGGATGTGAGCGAGTATGCCTGACATGGTTGAAACAGAACGTTTCTTTTCAGTCAAAGGTGAAACACCCATGTGTTCTGAGATACGTGTGTGTATGTGTCGGCGAGTTTGACCAACATACAATGCACTACAGCATTGACACTTATACAAATACACCACATGTGATCTCAGTTCACTGAGAATTTTGTCCTTAAATGGAAAGAAATTGGAAAGACGGAAAGAAGGACGAAAGACGACATGTAAAGAAATGTGTGGATAGCCAGAAGAAAGAAATTTCTGAAGTTGTGATCGAATTTGCAAACCATGATGACCAGTGAAAGGAAGACAAAAATATATAACCTTTTTCGAGCAAGTATGAACTTTATCACGAGAATTATATATTTTATCAAGAAATGATTTGATACAACTATCCACAAGTGTTGCAGGATAACCATTAAGAGAGAAGGTTTTCTTGAATTTTTCCATTTCCGAATGGAAAAATACATAAGAAGAGCAAATGTTGAAATAACGAGAGATAAGTGAGAAAAGTAAACCTTTTTGTACAGCATTGGAATAAAGCTGTCAAAATTCGTAAACAATCCCGTGGAAGTAGATTTAGGATGAACTGTGGTAGCGAAAGAACCGTTAGAACGAATGACTTTCAAGCTCATGAGTAAATTGAATGTTTGGGTGTTTCGAGTTGAGATAGAAAAGGAAAGAGTAACATGGTCGCGTGATGTGAAAATAAGAAAACAATCATCAACATACCGACGGTAGAATATAGGCTTAAAAACAGAAGGGCAGTCGGCTAACCAGGATTTTTCATGAAAAGATAGCAAATGTTAGCAAACAGTGGGCCTAAGGGTGAACCCATTGCTACACCATCAACCTGCTTGTATAGAACACCATCAAATAAAAAATGGCAATTTTTCACAGAAAGATTTAAGAGTTCTCTAAATTGATCGCGAGAGATGGCATGATAGTGTGTGGCACTAGCAAAGCATTTATTAATGATTACCGTATTTACTCGTTTAAGTGCCGCAGCGCTCTTTAAATTTTCAGAGCTTCAGATGTGGCGCTCATTCGGGGGTGGCGGTAAATCGGGGCGGCGCTCTTTAAAAAATATTTTATTTGTGAATTATGACAAGAACTTTTAACTATAAAATAGACAAGTTTTAAAAGGTTTTTGTTACTAAATGTCCCCATTTTGACGGCTGAAAGTTTTTACACTGTTTAGTGCGGCGCTCATTCGGGGGCGGCGCTCTTTAAAAAAAAATTGATCTCAAATGCGGCGCTCATTCGGGGGCGGCGCTCAAACGAGTAAATACGGTATATCAATAGTTTCACCTAATGGTATGTTAGTAAAGAGAGACTTAACGTCAAAACTGGCCATTATGACATCTCACCATTAACTCACGTAATTCCTTATCAAATGTAAAGGTGTCATTAATTGCAAAAGTGTTAGTAGAGAAAGGACGGAGAAGTGGAACAAGAAATTTGGCAAGTTTGTAGGAGTGAGCACCTATAGCAGAGATTATAGGTCTGAGTGGGAAATTAGGCTTATGGACTTTAGGTAAACCATACATAATACCTGGTCACAAGCCAATAGGATTAAGTTCTTTACTTAAATGTTCAGAAATTATTTCATTAGATTTAAGTTCGTTTACGAGAGTTCGGACAGCGTCTTCACGGCGAGTGGTTTCTTTATAAATATTTGATTTCTTAAGATCAATTTGTTCAAACTTAGTGTTATCATCAAGCATGTTAAGCATTCTTGAGTTATAATCCGTGCAGTTGATAATAACAACTCCATTTCCTTTATCTGGCTTGATGAGATAAATGTTGTTGTCCTTCTGGAGTCCTTCAATTACTAATACTATTGCTTTTAATGACAGGTTGTTTTTCATCCTTCCTCTTATTCACTTATTTGAATACTGTAACCGTTTGAAACTATTTGTATAGGTAATCATGCGATGGCGAGTACAATTAGGGATTAATAGTACGAGTGATGTTTGGAAATTTTGCCAAAATTGGACGAGCCGCCGGGGCAAGCGAAAATTGGATACTTCTCAATGTTAACATCATATATTCTCTTACCAAAGCCCAGTTCTGCCAGATTTTCAACCAAAATTAGGTGCTTTTGTCCGTATTTTCATTTGGTTCTTTTGTTTTAAAGCAAAATTTGGTGCTTTTGTTCGTATTTTCATCTAGTTCATCTAGGGCAATTTCATTTCACGCTTGTGTTTAAAATACCTTTCTGCCATTTTGTTTGTTGTGGGAAAATCATTAATTGTACTGCAGTACAATTAATGAAATAATTGTACTCCTCTCAACCAATCGGCATCCAGTAATTTTGTCATGCTAATAATAAGTATATATATAATACACGCTTGTAAATAAGTTTAATTGCTCTGAAGATGTTGTGAACAATACAACGAAACGTTAGCCAATAAATTTTATATTTTGTTATGTCTTGTCTGAAAGTCATTTGCTGGGCTTTAATTTTCATTTTTAAATTACTGTAAACCTGTTTCCCGTAATTCAGTTGAGTCAATTGAGAATGAATAATTGCTACGGAGCGAGCGAACCTGAAGCGAACGAGCGAAGCAGCAGACCTAATTTGTGTTTTTTTTTTAAATTTTATCTCAAACCATTGTTTACCGCAGTGCATTGTGGTTGTGCGCGATCGGAAATGCGCAATAAGCTTTTTGTTGGTTGTGTTTCCACAACGCCACATCTGGTAATTTTGACAAGTGTGTAGCTTCATCCGGATAGAAATGAATGTTTGAACAAAATCCAAATGAATCTACTGGGGGTAGACGCGGTGCGTTGAATAAATTGAACTCGACGTTAGAATTTTGACAAAAAGGTTATAACAATTTAATAAACAGATAACAGGATATATACAGGTGTGAGATATGTACAATACAATGATATCACGATACGACGACTTGTTGGGAATGAGGTGTCGAAATGTGAAATCGATGTTGTAGGTTTTAGTTGGTAGGATCAAATTCAATATCAAGACGTTGAATCACTTGAATGCTGATAAATCGCAGTTTTAGATCATTTAGATTGTCGTTTATCGTGGTATATTGTCCTTGTAGATGATATACTATCGATAGATATAGTATGGTTGATATAGAATCACATAGAATCGAGTAGAATCATAACGTGTTGAATCGATCGGATTGAATCGGTCGCGGATAGAATCGGTTCGAACTAGAATACAATGAGTGAAACAAACTAACTATAGTAAACCATATAGAAACTAGGATAAATATAACAAGAAACTAATACTAATTAATATACTAAATAATATACATGCAAATATTTACTTATAAGATTAGCATGCACTAGACCCGAATTTAGCAGCGCGCTGGAAATGGAAATGCTGCCCCCTTGACTTAGCGCGGATCTTAAGCCTACAAGAATACATGCGCATGCAAATGAACAAATACAAAACAAACAAACTGAATCATGCATGACATGGCGCAAATTATTCTAAAGTCACTTTTGTGTGAAACATTTTGTGCAACTATTAATATAGCAAAAAAAACAACTTATTATCTATGTACTTACTTTGGTTTGCTAACGCACCAAACTTTAACTTTTAATAGCGTAGATATATGTGTAGCTTCTTCTTTCAAGCCAAGATAGAGTAAAGGTAGACGGTCTTCTTAACGTGGATAGAACTTGGCCAATACAGGGCCCAAAACAACTATTGCTTACTCACAAGCGTCCGCGTTAAAGACTTATTGCAGAATGAAGTTTACAAGTTGGGTAGACTGTTTTTGCGCAAAACAAACCGGAATTTACTGCGTAATCTACAAACCTATGTTTTTCGTAACGGACATAGCGTGGCTAGGCTAGGCAACCGCATTACGCATTTGCTGACCATACTTACGCATTTTGATGGGAACTTTTGCTTATAGCGGAAAATAACAACTTGTTTGTTTCCCATCGAACCTTTTCGAAAACATTAATTTGACCTTCCGTTTCGAAACCAACAAAGTGAACCTGAAGCGAACTTCAAAGTTCAGGAAACATTGACGGTCTCGGTTAGTCTGACTAGCACAGTTATTTCTACAAAACAATTATTTCTACAAAACAATTTCACTTAAAATGAAAGCCAGTGATAAAGTACAACATAAATTAGATTTAACCTTATCTTAAAGGCATTTGCTTGGCTAGACTCAGCTAGAGTACACACATCACCACAATGTACTGTAAGCTGATACCTTCTGGCATACAAACTAGGTCAAGCCAGTAACTGACAATTTTTATCCACTGAATATATTTTGAATATATATATTTTGGGTTGAGTAAATTAAAGTAATTTTTCTCAGGTAACCTAGTATACTTAAGTATCATACCTGCATGTGAACTTTTTGATGCATTTTGCAACACAATCTGCAGATTTATTCTTTATGGGATGAAAATTCACAAACTTTGTGAAGTAGTCTGTGAATGTGCAAACATATTTAAATCCATCAGGAGTTGTTGGCAATATGGCCCTTTATAAAATCGAAAGAACCAGTTAATAAATTAATCACACTATGTGTCCGTGTTGTAACAAGTCCAGTCATTGACTCGGACTCGAGTCGACTTGCTATTTTCAGCAACCCGACTCGAGTCCAATACGAAAAATTACTCGAGTCAACAGCCCCAAATGACTCAACTTGCTGATTTTTACTTGATTGTATTTTTACCCGATTGTATTTTTAGCTGATTGTATTGCTTGGGAAGAACAATGAGTCCTATGAATAATGTGAACTTCGAAACTTTATCAGAAAATATATGGGGACTTGCAAATTTTCATTTTATGAAGTGCTATATCATTTTAAATTAACCTACAAAGCATGATTAATTAAAGTCTATTCTTTGTTAATTCTGACTCCAGTTGCAAGTTATACTAGTTGTATGTACGTACATTCGATCAACAGGCATGATGAGACATCTCACATGGTCATAATTAATAATGACTAGAGCTGTGATATTGGTACAGCCTAGCTGCCCATGCGGATGCTGTTAGCTTAAAAGGTAAATTTGATTACTATTACAGAAAGTGTGGGGTGGACTTGATCAAATTCCCTGACTCAACTCAATTTTAGCTATTGACTCGACTTGAGTGAAGCCATTGACTCGACTCGATCAGAAAGTGAAATGACTCGACCTTTGAGTGACTCAACTCGTGACTTGTATCGACCTGTAGGTGACTCGTTACAACACTGCTATGTGTATAAAAAGATACAGTTAAAGTAACACATCATTTTTTAGTCTATCTCATCACTGTTTGCTACTTACCAATCAAATCTATCCCAACCAACTCTAGTGCCCCCCTGCACTTTGATGGGGATAAGTTCTGGTGCCTGAGTTCTGATTTTACTGTATACTTGGCATTGATGACATGACATAATCTAACATTTCAAAAAACATAAAGTGTTAGTAAATTGTTAGTAAACAAATAATGATCATTAAATCAATGCAACCCCACAAATGTACTGCAATGGGTTTAAGCTTGATATTACCAAAACCGTGGATAGATCCTCTCGCATGAAAAATCGTATCATGTTTTCCTGTCAAAACATTTAATTATGACATTTAATTAATGCAATTACCTGCGGACCAATCAGATTTCAATATTCTATAAATATCAATTTCAAAACATTTAGGAATGCAGTCACATTCTTGGATGCATCTGCAGTTTTGGTAATAACTTTTTGTGGTTTGCAGGCAAAACATCTTAAGTTGTAACAATTATAAGTACATTTTCTTGGTGTTTCACAGAGTAAAATTACTGCATGCATCTCAGAGTGAATTGCAAATAGGTAAATATTATAAAAATAGCAAATATCTATACAAACATACATATTCTTGGACATCTTCTTTCATTCCATTCCAATAATAATGGTTTGAAATTTTGTTCAGAGTAGCGTTCACACCACTGTGCCCTCCCATAGCATTGCTATGATGGTGATGCAGGATTTCTCCAATTCCTTCTACAGTGAGGACTACCTTCTTTTGGACACCCCCAACAATGTAATACAGCTCATTATCTTTAAGAAATACATAAAAATATTTGATTTGGGAAAAATTATAGAGTGAGCAGTGAAATTTGTTTAGATATTGTCTTACAAATGTGCAATGTCTAATGCACATTACTAAACTCGAATTTGCTGATGAATATTGTGGTTAATTGTCACTTGTTTCCACCCCTCAAACTGACATGATGTCATTTTAGGCAAACTTGGACAACTCTTTCAATTGCTTTGAGAGTGACCATAACAGCCTAAACCTAAACCCTCGCCCCTAAACCTAACCATAAAACTGTAATTAAATCTTAGGCTTAGCCTTAGCTTGTCAGTACAAATCATACTGTGTTTATAGCTATTAAACATAATAGCTATATAATATGCTATAGCAAAATACAACAAATTATACTGTGTTTATAGCTATCATACAATAGCTGTATATAAATAATTATGCGAAATGTATAGCCTACTGTGGCATTGTAGCACGTGCTAATGTGCAATCAATGTTTCGAAAGGGCGTTTGCATTGTTACGCGAATAATATAAACATTAGCTTTAACTTATAAAAAAATACAAAGTTATATTTACTTGCTTCGTCCAAACTATACTTTTTTGCTTGGCTGCGAACTACCCGCTGCTGATTTTTAGTCAAGCCTTCGGGTTGTTTTCCATGCTGAAGGTAGTGGACAATCCGCTCACATTTTTCCTTTTGCTCAACTATACGATCTTTTCTGCTTTTCTTCTCAGGTTGAGGTTCACTTTTAGGGTCTTATTCTATCTCTGGCACCATTTTTAAACTTGTGACACGAAAATTTTGGTCTTCCGTACGCTGATAAAATGTTGTATTCGAAACGCTAGCTACAGAAGAAGGGAATAGCTCATACCGCGAGGATTTGTTGACATCGATTGCCACTGATGTGCGCATGCGCATAGTATCAGGGGAATTTTCAGACCGGGGGAGCAACCAGACTGCCACACCGGCAATGAAAAATCTTTCTGGTGTGTATGTAATCCATATAACTTCACATTTATCCGAGTTAAAATTTAACTGCCAAGTATTATGTCATACGATCTAAGTCCGACTGGAGGATTTGCTTATCTTTCTCTAGGTCGATTAAACCGCGATACACTTTTGTGTCATCCGCAAATAGTTTAGTGGGACTCGAGATTCCATTACGGAAATCGTTGATATATGTTAAAATGAGAATCGGACCCAAACTCGTTCCTTGCGGTACCCCTGATGTTACTTTCGTCCAAGTTGAAAAGGAACCTCTCACTACAACGCATTGTGATCGATTGGTAAGGAAATTCCTAAACCAGTTCAGCAAAACTCCACTAATCCCATACTGCTCCAATTTATGTAATACAGGCTCATAAGGTACGATGTGTCGAACGCTTTTGGGAAATCTAAAAAAAAATACATCGGTTGTTATCTTGGCGTTCCTAGCTTGAGCCCAATCGTTATAACACAACAGCAACTGAGACAGAGTAGATTTATTTCTCAGATAACCAAACTGGTTTTGATTAAATACTTTGTATCTGAGCCAGAATTCAATCGATCTATCACGGATTATTTTTTCCATGATTTTAGAAACAGTTGATGTGAGCGATACTTGTTGGTAATTGTCTCTTTTAAATTTTGAATTTTTTTGTTAATCAGGATAATGTGAGCCAATTTCCAGTCCTCTGGGAGCTTACCCGAAGACCATGACCTGTTAAAGATACTTGTTAATGATGGTACTATTGCGGAAGCACACTCTTTTAGGATACGCGGTACCTAGGATATTGTCGGGTCCCGGAGATTTTGAGATGTTTAATGTTATTTAAATATTGCTCGACTTTGTCCACTGAACATTGAATGTCACAGAGCTTTTCTTCCATGACTCTGTTCATAGTGGAAAAACTATCAAAGCTTTCTTTTGTGAATACTGTCGAAAAGTACGTATTCATGCTCTCTGCAATTTCCATATTGTCAGTGATTTCTTTATCCCCTACTTTTAACAGTATCAAATCATTTGTACCCTTGCATTTCGAGTTTACATATTTCCAAAAAGCCTTGGGGTTGTTTCCTTCTAATTCCTCTGATAGCTTATTTACATATGACCGCCAAGCTGAATTGCAGTCTCCTTTTACCATCGTGTTTAGTCCTACAGTTTAGTCATATTATCATACAGTGCTACTTCCGGTGAACTCGCTGTTAAACGATTGACCTGACTTGGATCTTTAAAACTGTGGGCAGCAACATTAACGTTATTATCATTCGTTTGAATGGGATTAAAGTTATCTTTTATTTCCATATCTATGCTCTTTGCCGACAGCCTTAATTGAATCGTTTGGCACTTTGACAGTTTTAATTCTTTCACGTAGGTAGGTTATTGTTGTTTTTAAATCGTCAACATTTCTTTGACTAACAAGAAAGCCCAAATCAGAACTTGGTTGGGCAGACTTTTGTGAGGACATCTCATTAGCAACATTAACGTGATTATCATTCGTTTGAATGGGATTAAAGTTATCTTTTATTGCCATATCTATGCTATTTGCCGACAGCCTTAATTGATTGTTTAAAGCTTCGACAGTTGTAATTCTTTCATGTAGGGACGTCATTGTTGTATTTAAGTTTAAGTTGATTAAGCGCAAGTTTAAGTTGATTTACCCGATCTTGCTTGCCTACGGATACTTCATTGATTAACTCTAAATTTTGCCTCAGGATTTTCTAGGTTCTTTTGAGTTATAAGTAAGTCAAGCTTAACTCCTTCCAAATCTGCAGCATAAACACTGCAATTACAATTATAAATACAAGCTTTGATATTCTCCGTTTGTGAAGCTTTATTCAGAAACACAGTACTTAATTGGGATGTTATATTGGATATTTTACTTTGATCGAAGGTACAATCAATCCCATTATACACATTTGATTGAGATTGTGTATTAGCTTCATGAACTTTCAATGTAGTGCTTAGTAAGTATCGATTGTTTTCAGAGCAAAGTAAAATGCACTTATCTCAAACAACATTTCCATCATTTCCATGTAAAATTGGTGATCTGTTTTTCTCAATACCATACAAGAACCACGTCAACATTTGAGCTACAAAATCTCTTTGATTGGCCTCCTGGCGAAGACCAATTTCCTTCGAGATTCCAGATATCGCTTACAATTTGCTTTAATTTCAGCAAATCTTCACACCATTTAAGATGGCAACCATCATATGACATTCCTGATAAATAAATATATATAAATCTGATAACATTTGAACTGTTAAGAAAGGTATCCAAAGGCTGATTTTGATTGATAAAACTTTCATTCAACATGAGTGCATTTTTGTCAGCCATGTTGTCCGCCATGTTAAAAATGCACATGTATCTGACTCAGGAGGTGAGGTCATTCAAAGCTACAGGGTTTATAAAAAAAGACCTTTAAGGCGGATTTCCATTCCGTGCAAAATGTTGCACGATCGACTTTTTGCGAGCGCTTTTTGCGATTGACTATTTAGTTTAATTTCCATTCTTGTATAAAAACATATAAGCACGCGCAAATTTTGGTAGTAAAAAAATGGCTGCCATTAGCCCGCGTGCAGGCCCAAGGGAGCAGGCTCAAGGGAACTTGATAGTGGGCCTGCAAGCAAGGCCCGGTATTTTGTACTTTCCGCGTTCGCCCACGAACGCTGCATTCTGATTGGCTGTTTGCTGTTGGATTCTATAATTAGGTCAGTGATTCATCACAAAGGCTCTCGATAAGCTCAAAATTCGAAAATTGATCACTTTTTTCGATTATAAATGGAACAAGAACAGA